TAAAACCATTGCCCGCATCAATTTTTTTGTTTTCGATCCATATGCTGGCATTTTATTATTATTAATACTAATAGTCCTTGAATTTGATATAGCGGCTTTCATGTCGGGGGGATGTCTTGAAGTGTTTTACAGTATTTACTGGAAAATATAGTGACTACATTTTTTAGGTGAATCATGGTGCAAGATAAGTAAAAGAACAGAAAATACAGAAGGTATGATAAAACCTAGCAAATGATCCTGTAAAAAGATTGAAGTACTTTCTAATTGCCATAGTCCTGCACCACTCTACTGTACTATAACAATCGCCAGCCTCTTCAGTTTTGAAGGTAAAAGATATTTTGAAACTATTCTGCAACGGCAAACATTGTGGCATTTAAAATAACTAAAATTATTTCACTGTTTCTGGCAGTTACAATTATAAAAGCAAACATCTTTTCACTTTCTAAAGTCCAGCAGTACTTAAAACATCAGCACTACATCAATTATATCTGAAATTACACCTTCTATTATTGAAATAATTCATGGGGTACTTAAATAAAGTCGGACTTTGTGCAGTGTACCGTGCAGTAAACCCATTACTGTGCAAAAAGAAAAGCATGTTAACCAAGAAATGGATGACACAAATTGTCACTAATGCCACTCGTCTGATTAGGCTACCAATTGGGGCTGGTCAAGTAATAGGAAGGAAGGGGGCTTTTATGAGCTGATGATGCTGGAATAGGGAGGGGGGAATTTGCTGGAAAATAAATTATGCTGTCCGTTTCTCTAAAAAGAGAATGTTTTACTGATAAAGAATAATTGTTTACTGCAGTATGAGTGCAGTAAAAGAGTTCAAAAGGATGCTGTGTGCTAAACTGCCAAATCAGTTGTTTTCAGATCACCCAGACATCACTTTCAAGCTGTATAATGTTCTGGACACGCTGCAACTGAACTACTCCATATAGTCCATATATACTCCATATAGTTCCAGATGTCATAACATAATGGGCTGTCCACACACTGGAGGCACTGAAGAGGAGAGCAACAAAGCCAGCTCTCAATGTTAAAGGATTCAGCAATGAGGAATTACCAGATAAGCTACAAAAAGATACATTTCAGAGGGCATTTTGTAGATAATGCGTAGTTAGATGCATAGGGTAAAACACGGGTAACACTTTCGGCAGCAGGGCAAGAGACGGGCAGGCTTCTGAAGAGCAATTTCAGGAGATATTTCTTTACACAGAGAATAATATAGAACTGGCACATGATTAAGGGCAAAACACTGGACTCATTTAAGAAACGGTTTGTAAATGGGAAGACAGTGGGCTAGTATTCTGCAATGTTCTTAACAGCCTTCTTCATTCAAACTCTCATACATATATTTAGGATAATGCATTGTCTGCAGTGTATTACACGCTAGTTACACATATCGCCCACAAAATATAGTCAATTCACTTCACAGTATATTCTGTGAAGCGCTTTGAGGCGCCTTGACGATGTGATAAGGTGCTATATAAAATGCAAGGATTATTATCATTGTCATTACACATACACTTCCTGCTTTTCGGCCTTCCCAATTCTTCCCTAAGCTGCAAATCACCCAGAACTCTGCAGTTCGTGTCCTCTCCCGCACCAGGCTGCGTGACCCCATCACCTCCACCCTCGCCTGGCTTCAATGGCTCCCTATCCCTCAAAGGATAGAGTTCAAAATCCTCATCATCTCCTTCAAGGCCTTTCATGGCCTTGCCCCTTCCTACCTCTGTGACCTGCTAACCCCTTATCAACCTGTCCGCTCAGCATCCGGCATGCTCCACGTCCCCTGCCCGGCCTGCCCCACCATCAGCAGTCAGACCTTCAGCCTCTCCGCCGCCACCCTTTGGAACTCCATGCCACATTCCCTTCGCCCCGCTCGGGTCCAAATCCCTCACTGTCCAGCGGCTTGGCACATCCTCCTGATGTGAAAGGTGTTATACAAATGTCATTTTGTATTGTATATCAAGAGATATAGATATCAGTACTACTTAAGTCTAAACAAGTTATGCCTTTGAAGCATCACTTATTCTATAGAATCGTGATTCCATGGCACTATTTGAAAAGGGTAGGTAGTTTTTCCCCGTGTCCTGGAGGACAATCACTTGGATAAAATTGGTCCCTCATAGCTATTTGTGAGAAGTTGCGGCGTGAAAATGGACTGCTGCATTCTCCCACAAATACATAGGCACAACACTTCACAGTAAAATCCAATGAAGTGCTCTGAGACATCTTAACAACATGATAAGATGCTATATCAAATGCAAGGATTATTATATTACAAATATCTTGAGCAAATCTCAGCTACAAATTGAGCCTTAAATGCCTTAAACCTTCAGGAAAGGTGGGGAGAGTGTAGGGGGAATAACCTGATTGAATTGTAGCAGAATATCATGTGGTGTGACACCATTTCAAGTCCTGTAATTTGATTGCAAAAGCCTGTGGTTCATCATGGTCCAGCTCAACACCAACTAGAGAGAGTTTCAATAAAGTAATCTTGAAACAATGAAAAACTTCCCAAATATAAAATACTCTAAAATTGTTCTAACAAACTTCAGCAGCCCTGCGTTGCAGCACCCGCCACCACATTTGTCTACAAAAATATACACAGTCACTATACTTTTCAGTATAACCTGTGTAGGAGACATCCTCCTCCTGTGAATGGCGTTATATCAAATATGATCACTGTGATCACACAAAGGATCACTGTGATAAATTATCACACAGAGCAAAAAAAATTGCAGGCTGGAGTGAGTTATAAACCAGCAACCCCTTCAAGAGTTAGAGTAAAGATTATCAAACTCATCATTTGAACCCCAAGATAAGATTACAGTCAAAATCGCTCCACAGAAGCCATGGGGGCGGGGGGATGGGTGGTCATCCATGGGATGGGTGGTCATCCATGGGATCTGCTTTGTTTCTGCTTTGTTTCATAGAATATTACTCCAACATTGGGAATAATGGAGGGAACCATTTACCATAGTGCTTGATGCAGATCATGCATGATGAGATCTACTTTAATCCCTTGCATACTTTGTTATCTCATAACAATCCACAGCAGATGAACACTGTCAGTATACATTGTGATGCTACTGTAATAATACCAGTAGCAACTTAAAGAGCTGAACAAGTTGATAGAACTGTGTGGGATGCTAAAACTACACCACACTTGTACAGTTTGGCTTCAAGATGACAGAATTAGATAACTTGTTTATTTGTTGCTGTTATCAAGTTTCAAAAAATTAATGGATTGTATTTAATTAATTAACGCAATCTATCATGAAACAAATTTAGCAACTGCAGGCTCCATGTAATCAATACTGAATGAGAGTACATGCAACAGCCTTCGGCAACTCAACAAGATGCTGCAGGGACACAATTAATTTCAGGGGCTTGTTTTCCAAGTGTGAGTTATAGAATTGTGAGATATAAGGCCATTCTCATCAAAATAAAACTCCATTTAATTTGCGCTACCTGTGTATAACTCACACAATTATTGGGAAGAAACCATGTCATGCAATTTGTCTTCAGCCGTCCAATTGATCTGCTATGCAGAATGGAAGTGCTTTGACCAGTGTATGCAGTGACGTGTGGTAATAATAATAATCCTTCCATTTGATATAGCACCCTATCACGTCTTTGAGACGTCCCAAAGCACTTCAAAGAATATAACGTAAAGTGAATTGACTATATTTTGTGGGTGAAACATGGCAGCTAATTGTGCACAACAGTGTCCCACAAACGGTCTTGGATTGAGTGACCTATTTATTTATTTTTGAAGGAAAAGCTATCCGACAATCGACTGACAACTGGGTTCCAACTTACTTCTAGGTAAACAAAAGCCTGTGGGTTAAGGAAACTTGCCCAACGAAACTTGCCCAATGGATAATGGGAAAAAATAATAATATTGACAAAGACGATTCCTGCTGAACAGGTGTTTTTCCCCAGGATACCTTCAAGATGCCACAACTCTCGTCACAGTGTGTGTGAAGTCAAAGGACGCAGTTACAGCACTGTGTTACTGATCCTTACACAGCAACATGGCATAGACTCCCGAGTCACATCTCATATGAATTGCTTTATGAAAAAAAGACCAAGGTTCAGTTTCTACCATCCTGGTAGTCGCATGCTACAGTAACAGAGATGTTGATACCAATTAATTCAGTACGGATTAGTCTACAACACAGTGAAAAGCTTTGGGAACCTTAGATCCAATGTTGCCTGGTTCTTCCAAGCATATTACACATACTGTATGTCATGTTTCAAATTACTCATATACCGTATCCCAAAATATTATTTTCTAAAATAAATCTATCTAATTTGGATTTGAATGAATCAACATTTTCTGCTTCCACCGTCTCCCTAGGGAGCCTCTTCCATAGATTAACTCACTCACTCACTCACTCACTCACTCAGGATTTCTGAATCCTGTCATAGCCATGTCACAGGCCATGTCGTCAGGTTCTATTGTGCTGGACAAGATGAAAAAGCTCATGTTTAAACTTTTCGAATCGTTTTGGAGTCCTGTAGCTTAGCGGTTAGAGCACTCGCCTTGCAAGCGAGACACCTGGGTTCAATTCCAGGCAGGGAGAAACCTTGGGCAAGTTTCCTTACTCCACACGCCTAATAATAATCCCTCCAAAAAACAAAAACAATAATAAATTGGTAATTTTCAATCCACGACTGTTTGTGGGACACTGCTGTGCGCAATTGGCTGCCGCGTTTCGCTCACAAATATACGGTCAATTCACTTTACAGCACATTCTGTGAAACGCTTTGAGACGTCTAGAAGACGTGAAAAGCGCTATATGAAATGCAAGGATTATTGTTATTGTTGTTATTTTAGTTTTTTTCTGAACAAAAAGTAGCCTTATCCAATTAGGAACATCACTTGACTTCTTACTTCATCCTTTCGATTGAACAGACCAAACAAAAAATGAACTCATATTATTAACAGGTGAGTAGTGTACAATAGTGATTGATATAAATACCTTCTCCAAAAAGGTGCGTCATAACTTTATTCAGCGTCTGCTTCAAGTTAAACTCAACGAGTTTAACTGCTTCCAGTGTGTGACTCTCTTGCTTGTGCTGTGAGCGATATCCCTTCTCAAAGATACAAAGGTCTTCTCCATTTTGGACATTGGTAAAGAGCTGGAAGAAGGAAAGCCTCTCGAGTTAGTCAACACAACAGTTTTGGGATTTATATAATCATTTGGGATTTATTGATAAAACGCCATATCACATCTTTGAGACGTCCCAAAGCGCTTCACAGAATATACTGTAATGTGAATTGACTGGTGTATTTTGTGGGTGAAAATTTATAAATTTGCAGGCTTCCATAATCTGCACTTCTTATTTTATTTTGATATATTTGCAAATTTATCAGATAATTATGAAATTACGTGATTCCACAGAGTTTAAAGAAAATCAATTAAACAACCCCACCCATTCCCTTACAGGCTCTAAGGAAAAGGTGGATGAGACTCAACAGTTTTTTTGCTCTTTCTGGCTGCTTACAATATTACTAGTGATGTGGTTGCCTGCTCCCTCCATCTAGAAAGAAGGTATTGTCTACAACAAGGGGAAAAAGCCTAAAATTAGAACAAATTACATTTAAAAAGCGCCTTTCACGTCGGGAGGACTTCCCAAAGCTCTGCACAGTCAAGGGTTAGATCCAAGCTGAGGGCTGGAGTCAAGAGGGGTGAAGGGAGAGAGGAGTGGTAGTTGTGTTAGAAAATTCAAAAAGAAATACTGATAAATACATCGTAACAAGAGCGAGATAAGTTCATCCATCAAGTCCGTTCAGTCGTTTTCCGCTGCTCTCCCCAGCTCCACCATACACAAAATTCAATTAATCCAAAACTCCACAACCCGGATACTCACCAGCACAAAATTCCGTGCCCCCATCATACCAATCCTCGCCAGGCTCTACTGGCTCTCAATTACTGAACGGATCAATTTCAAGATCCTTGCACTCGTTTTCAAATCCCTTCATGCCCTCACACCTCCCTACCTATCTGATTTGCTTACCACCCCCCTCTGCCTCCACTCGGCTGGCTCCGGCCTCATGTTTGTCCCTCGTCCCCTCCACTCCACCATCGGTGGCTGTGCCTTCAGCCACTACTCCCCGAAATTCTGGCTCTCTCTCCCTCAATCTCTCCGCCTTGCCCCCTCCCTCCCTACTTTCAAATCCTGCCTAAAGACCTTCCTTTTTGATCATGCTTATGGTCACCTCCCCCCTCCCTCTTGACTCATCAGAGTCTGCCACTGTCCAGCTCTCTGGGACGCTACCCCGTTAGATAAATGCAAGTTGCGCTATACAACTGCAAGTTGTTGTTTTATTAGCTCAAGGCAACTGTTTCTAATCCCATTTTCTATCTTTTCCCACATATCCCTTAGAACTCATATCTACCAGATATCTATCTGTCTATCCCACGCTTCAATATTTCAATTGAAACACCTCATCCACACCTTTGTTACCCACCAGCTTGTCCAACTTGGACCATCCTACTGGTTAGGGCTTTGGCTTGCAGGGTTAACAGGAGTTGAGTGGGAAGAATCCCTGCCCCCAATAACTGTTCTGCCCTTCCAATCCTCTGAGGGCAGCCTGGCTGTGCTGTCAAGAACAACAGCAACTTGTATTTATATAGCGCCCCTCATGCAGGGTAGTGTCACAAAGCGCTTGACAGTGGCGGAACATGATGCCAAGCCAGGGGAAGTGGGAGTTGACTGTCATCAGCAGTGCCCTGGAGTACTTCATAGATACCAGACAATCGAGCCCGCCACAGAGGGTTGGCCCAATTCTGAAATTCTGTTGCCAACATTGTCTTGCTAGCCCAATTCCTGAGCCAGGCAGGTCCGTTGAGCTCATTTTCCAAAACTTTAGTGTGGTACTGAGGAAGTGCTGCATTGACAGAGATTCCTGTCTGTCTGCTCTTCAGATGGATGTTAAAGATCCTTTGACAACTTTTCAAATGTAGAAAGGAGTTGCTCCCATTGTCCTGGCCAACAATCATCCAGAGAGAAAAAAAGTTATCATTCACCTCGTGTCTGTTAGTGGGACCTTGCTGTGTGGAAAATGGCTATCACGTTTGCCTACAAAAACAGCTACTGCACCTGACAACAATAATTACAGTCATGCACTTTGAGACATTTCAGTATAAGGTAATTTAAAAATGTAGATATAAAAAAAGTTTTTCTTTCTACTGAACACAATGATTATTTAATTTCAATGGGTCTCAACATTTCCTTAATGCAAGGATTATTATTAATGTCTCATCCCAAGGACGGCATCTCGGACAATGTAGCACACTCCAAACACTTCCCATGAAGCCTGCTATACTGGTTCCACACTATTCCCACAGGAAAGCAAAAAGCAGCTGCTCAAGAGAAAACAGTATGTTTCATTATCATTAAATATTTTAACAGGAGAAAATAGGTTATCTGTTGTCTGTATTTAATGTCAGGGAAATCACAAGCAATTGCCCGAAGGGGGACTGGCTTATGAGAAAACATACTAAGTACCTTCTAATATTCAAGTTCCAGTCTAAAAGGACAGCAGATCAAATGCTTACAAGATGTATAGCTTGCTTACTGTGTGCTTGATAATATGTGTATCGACAAATTCAATTCTAAACTCTTAGATTTTTAGATACAGAAAGTATCTGTAATAGACAGTCACCATGAAATAGTTTTCACACAATGTACGAGAACACTAAGTCTCCCCTTGTTACTTGTTCATTAGTTGGGTTTGATATTTGATATCATTTGATATAGCACCTTATCACAACATTGAGCTGTCTCAAAGTGCTTCACAGTATATTCTGTAAGTAAAGTGACTGTGTATCTTGTGGGTGAAATGGGGCAGCCAATTGCACACAGCAGTGTCCAACAAGCAGTAATGGATTGAGTGACCAATTTTTTTTTAAGTGATTCTTACCCCCGGAAAGCGATCTGCCAATCGATCCGCCAATCGACTAACAACTGGGTACCTACTTACTGCTAGGTAAACAAGCGTGTGGAGTAAGGAAACTTACCTAAGGTTTCACCCCACCCAGGAATCGAAACTGGGTCCTCTCACTTGCAAGGCGAGTGTGCTAACCACTTTGCTCCAGGACTCCACATAAATTGGACATTCAATATCTCAACTTTATTTACACTGTGCATGTCAATTCTCATTTGAAGAAGAAAGAACTTGCATTGCAATACCAGCCTACCACTTTGAAATGTTGCTAAGTGCTTCAGAGGTAATTACTGTTAAGTTCAGTGACTGGTTTTGTGGACAATCACAGCAACCATTTTGCACACAGCAAAGTTCCACAAACAGACATGAGGTGAATGAACGTTTCAGCTGCAGAACACTGGGAGAAACTTGCTTCTCTTCTCCATTACTGTGAAGGAATCTTTAACCTCAATCTGAAGCACAAATCAGTTTAACATCTCATTTAAAAAGACAGTACCTCCAATAATGCAGCACTCACCCAACGTGTGTCAGCCCAGCTCAGTTGGTAGCACTCTCACCTGGCTCAGGAGACCCATTCCAATAATCTATCTCTGGAATTTCCATGTGTAGATGGGATGCAGGAAATCTCAGCTTGGTTTGGATACTCATGGTAATGGGTTTCTGCATGTGTCAGATACCCGGCTGACCCCCAAAAAAGACAGAAGGTTCAAGCCTCACATTGGGACTTGAACTCGCATAAATCTAAGCTCAGTGTTGGGAGTGCTCTGCATTGTCAGAGATGCCATCCTTTGGATGAGACATTAAACCGAGGTCCAGCTTGCTTATTCTGGTGATCGCGTGGCACTATTCGAAAAGAGAAAGGAGCTCCCCCTGGTGTTCTGGCCATCAAATCCCCCCAAATACAACCTGGTGATTTGCTTCACAGCTGCTTACGGAACATTGCTGCACAATTGGGTTGTCCCGTTTGCCTACAAATATATAGTCACTCCACTTTACAGTATACTCTGTTAAGAATTTTGGGACGTCTTTCCAAAGTTAAAGGCATTTATACCAATTGCAAAGATTTATTTTATTATTCTCTGACCCAGAGGCATGAGTACGACCACTTGAGTCAAGCTGACATCTATTTAATATAATGCTACAATTTGCAGGACCTGTTACGCTTAAGAACAATTTACTTTATTGGATGAACTGATGCTAGAATTGAGAACAGACAGATAGCAATGAAAAAAAATGTCACCCTGGTATATTTGAAACCATTCTGTAATCCATGTATCAATGCAATTCTCATTTGTATATTGTGTATAACTTTAAATAACTACCGCCCCATCTCTCAAACCACCACCCCATCTCCAACCTCCCTTTCCTCTCCAAGGTCCTGGAACGAGTCGTCGCTTCCCAACTTTGCACCTTCCTCTCCCGCCACTCACTTCATGAACCACTCCAATCGTGTTTCCGTGCCACCCACAGCACAGAAAAAGCACTGGTCAAAGTGACAAATGACATTCTGTCCATTTGCAACCAGGGCTCTCTCTGCCTCCTCATCCTCCTTGACCTCTCTGCTGCCTTCGACACTGTTCACCACTTTATTCTCATCCACCGTCTCTCCGCTCACCTCAAACTTCATTGTTCTGGCCTTCAATGGTTCAGATCGTACCTCCCACACCGCCTCCACTTCATCTCTATTGAAAAGCACTGTAATAACTGCAAGGGTTATTATTGTTTATATTCTTATCTTGACAAACGGTTTCTCCTCTATCTGCCGCACTGTCTCGTGCAGCGTTCCTCAAGGCTCTGTCCTTGGGCCCCTCCTTTTCAATATCTATATGCTCCTTCTTGGTGACATCATCCGCAGACATTGGGTCAACTTCCACATGTATGCAGATGACACCCAACTCTACCTCTCTGCTTCCAACTCTGACTCCAGGACCACTGCTGTCCTGACAGAATGGCTGTCAGACATCAAGTCCTGGATGAGAGCTAACTTTCTTCAGTTGAACGTCAACAAGACTGAGGCTCTCCTGATTGGCTCCCGTCAGTGTATTCACATCTCAGGCACTGACAGGATCACTATCCATGGATGCACAGTCCACCTTACAAAGCCAAGTTCGGAACCTTGGCATCTTGTTTGACCCTCAACTATCCTTTCTAACTCACATCCGTGTCATGACCCAATCTGCTTTCCCCCACCTCCGCAATATCGTCTGGCTCCGCATTGCCTCACACCATAGGCCACCGAAACCTTCGTACACGCATTCATAACATCCAGGCTTGACTATGCAAACTCCCTGTTTGTGGGCCTCCCCATCTCCTCCCTCCATAGGTTGAAGATCATCCAGAACAGATCATCCATGTCCTCTCCTGCACCAGGCTCCGTGATCCTATCACCACCATCCTCACCCGACTCCACTGGCTACCCATCACACAGAGGATACAGTTCAAGATCCTGGTCCTCACCTTCAAAGCCCTCCATGGCCTTGCTCCCCCTTATCTCTACGACCTCCTAAACCCTACCATTGTGCTTCAATTCCCCCGCCTCACCCGCCCCATCATTGGCACGCGGGCCTTCTGCTCCTCTGCTCCCACCCTCTGGAATTCCATCCAGCAGGCCCTCCACCTCACCCCCTCCCTTGCCACCTTGCCACTTTCAAGACCCATCCAAAGTCCCTCCTCTTCAACTGTGTTTTTGATCGCCCTGCTTCCCCCCTGCCCTTCACCCTCCCCGACCCCAACCACCAGGTCCGTTCCATAAATTACAGTTTTACAAATGTAATTTTGTTGTTGGTGTATAGAGCCTTTCACGTCAGGTGGACGTCCCAAAGCACTGGACAGTCAGAGATCCACATCTAAGCTGGTGGTTGAGAACAGGAGGGGTGGAGGGCAGGAAGGTAGGGATAGGGTGAACGAAGGCACAGTTGAAGAGGAGGGTCTTGAGAGGAGGCGAGGCTGAGGGCCTGTGACATGGAGTTCGAGAGGGTGGAGGCTGAGCGGTTGAAGGCCCACCCGCCAATGGTAGGGTGGGCAAGACGGAGGAGGTGAAGCAGGCCAGAGCCCAAGACCTGTGTGGAAGGTTCCCTGCCCCCAGTGACTGGTCTGCCCCTCCAAGTCTTGTCAATGAGCCTGTCATCAACAATGCCATGGAATACTGCAGATCTGCCTGGTTCAGGAACTTCACTATCGACACCACCAAAGAGGGATGGTTTGATTCCAATATTCCGTTGCCAAACATGACACCTTGGAGCCAATTCAACTCAGAGGAGACCCCTTTTACCTCCCCCCCCACCCCCAAGGAGTAAAGGAGTATAGTCACTGGATACAAAATATTGTCCAGCGCCTTGGGACATCTGCCTTATGTGAAAGGCGCTCTACAAATGTAATTGTTGTTGTTAATTCTTTAGCTAATTTGTTGTATGACATGGGATATATGACGCTGATTCATGAGATATATATCCTGTTCTTAGCTTTCGCCATAACTGGTTGTTTTTATGGGATATGAATAACATCCATCGATCCTCATTCTGTACCCTCTCTGCGTGCTGCATGTGTTAACCCGTATCTATTACATCACATCTCTGCAAGTTCACAGTGATGTGTTGAAAGACATTGTAACCCCACATATGATTGTGTTATTCCCAGATCAGACGTCATCGTCAGCTACTATACCCCTGTGCCCTTATCACGTCTACACATCTTCTTCCTGCAACTGACACAGTTAACACATCAAAGGACAATTAGAAACTTTATGGAGTCCTGTAGCTCAGTGGTTAGAGCACTCGCTTTGAAAGCGAGTGACCTGAGTTCAATTCCAGGCAGGTCAGGGCGAAACCTTGGGCAAGTTTCCTTACTCCACACAGAGCCTAATAATAATCCCTCCAAAACAAAACAATAATAAATTGGTCATTTTCAATCTACGACTGTTTGTGGGACATTGCTGTGCGCAATTGGCTGCCGCGCTCGCCCACAAATATACAGTCAATTCACTTTACAGTGTGTTCTGTGAAGCGCTTTGGGACGTCCTCCCGACGTGAAAAGCGTTATATCAAATGCAAGGATTATTATTATTATTATTAAGATACTGCAGAGAATGGGGTTTAAAACACAGAGATTTCAAACAAAGTTTTTTTTAAAAAAATAAGACTCCAAGACCTTTGAATTACATACAATTTTACAGCACAGAAACAAACAATTTGGCCATGAGTTTCCATTTCTTACCACTCTGTACGTGGTGAATTACTATAATTCTAACTATATCCAGTTAGCAAACTGGGTAAACTGGATACATCTAAGTAGCACATTTAAATAAAAACAGCAATGCAGACTGAGCAAATCCATCCTTCTTTATCAACAATGTCCCCCAATCTCATGTAAAAGAGCAGTAAAATCACGTGAAAGATTTATTTTGACATTTATCTCAAAGGAACATTGACTTCAGTGAAAAATACTTTGAAAATGTTATTTTCTTCTCTGTCAAATGGTGTATCACAATGTTATCTGCATCACTCCACCACAAAATGTAAGCTCACAGTGTGGGTCTGATGTGCTCGGCTATAAACCACTCCAGAAGCTTTTCATGCACGTTCTGAGGACCAAACTCTTTAGGTAAGGTTCACTTTCATGGTGGGTTCATGCCCCACGTCGGGACCCTGGACTCATAGTCGAGGCTAACACTTAAGTTTAGAACTGGGGAAGCACTAAACTGTCAGAGATTGCACCTACCTGTTCTTCAGGTGGATGTCAAACATCGCAGGTGCTTTTTAATGAGAAGGGAGTTGCCTCCAGTGTCCTGGCACACAGTCCTTCAGATTAATTACTTATTCATTTCATAGCTCTCTTTTGTGGGACTTTGGTATGTGCAAAATAGCTGTTGTGTCTGCCTACAAAATACATTAGTGTGAAGGAATTACTGTGAAGTTCTTTGAGATCCGTCAACATTATAGGCGCTATAAAAATGTAACTTCTTTCCTGTTCGAATTCTTTGGTGACTGATATCATGCATGCGGTTCATTATCAAATGTGTAAGATGATTACCATGGAAATTGACACAAAATTTCACTTAAATACCTGGTAGTAAATTTCTAAATGTTTAGCAATTTGTGTCTATGGTCTAGCCAAAAAGCCAAAAATAACAGGAGCCTCAGGGGTGGGATGGCTCACAAGGTCAATGATGCACAAAGTCCTATTTCAAACTATCATTTTCTGCAACTTGTAGGAATCAAAAATATCGCTTAGTAGCATGCCATTTGACCTTGCAAGGCTATATTGGTGCCCACTTTCCTACAGGAGCTAACCACTCCAATTCTAATTCTGTGCTCTTTCCCCAACTCTTACATATTTCTCCTTCAAATGTTTTTCCAATTCCCCATTACATGTTGGTGTCAAAATCAATAGCCACTTGTGATAAAGCCCTCCATGTTCTAACAATCCTCAGCATGAAAACATTTCTTCTCATTTCCCCCTTATTCTTCCTATGACAATCCTGAGGTGATGCTCCTTGTTACCAATTCTCCAACCAGCAAGAATAATCTATGGTTCTGTTGTTTATTCATTCACCTCCACAAGATCCCAAACAGAGTTTTTGCCTACTGCAGTGCTGTCTTGTTTTAATAGACTAGGCTAGGTTAACCTAACCCCCCAACCCCATTCTGAAAAATATTTTCATCACATCACTTGCAAAATGGGATCAATGATTCATGATTGTGGAGTCTTGTAGCTGTGTGGTTAGAGCACTCGCCTCACACGCAAGAGGATCTGGGTTTGATTCCCGGCAGGGTGAAACGTTGGGCAAGTTTCCTTACTCCACACACCTCTGTTTACTAAACAGTAAGTAGGAACCAAGTTGTTAGTCGATTGGCAGATAGCTTTTCCGGGGGTAATAATCCCTTAAAAAAAATTAAAATAATAATTTGTTCACTCAATCCACGAGTTGTTCAGATCTGGAATGCATTCCCTGAAAAAGTGGTGGAAGCCGATTCGATAAGAACTTTTGAGAGAAGTAGATAAATATTTGGGGAGGACAAGTTTGCAGGGCTATGGGGAGAGAGCGGGGAGTGAGAATGAATTAGATAGCTCTTTTCAAAGCACCGGCACAGACACGACGGGCTGAATGGCCTCTTTCTGTGCTGTATATTTCTATGATTCTACGACTGTTTTGTCGGACATTGCTGTGAGCAATTGGCTGCCGCGTTTTGCCCACAAAATATACAGGCAATTCACTGTACAGTATATTCTGTGAAGCACTTTGAGACTTCTAGAAGACGTGATAAGGCACTATATCAAACGCAAGGATTATCATTACTATGATTGCAATTATAAGTTCCCACAGTACAGAGCTCTATCCTGAGTGTGAGAAAGAAGCTGTGGGCATTGTAGTGTGCTCCAGGAGACAGCTCCATACTCTTGACACTTTGCATACACAGTTAAAGAAGTCACTTTAGGCTGTCTGAGGTTTACTTTTCTATTGGCTATCACCACAGAATCCCAAAGGGATTGCGACATTAGACAGGATTTTGTCTTTTAGTCTCTTTCTCCTCTCTCCCTCCTCCCCAGCTGAAAGCCTCACTCAACATTTGAAGGAACTTTGAGAAGATACGTAACAACATCACCATCAACTCTCACCTCATACTTCGAAAACAGTCTGACTCCTTCCATTTGATGAAAGACTGGGTAGTGGCTGCTGTCAACTTCATCTCTCCGATAGACATCCCCGATGATCAGGAAGGCATCCAAGCCTGCGCGGATGAGATCCCGCTGGTGGGCTGAAGTGTGGGCCCGCAACATGTGAGTTTCATTCAGGAAAAAGTTGTCGCCTTTCTTCCTACTGAGGTGATTTGGTGGTATAAGCAGGCTGTCGAAATTCTGCTCTATGGTAACCACTGGAGACAAGTTATCGTAGGCTGAAAACAATGGGTTCCCAATGCGATTAAGATAATTTCTGTAGAAATAGTCCTTAATGCGTTCTTTAATTAGCCACAATGGATGGTTTCGTTGGTTGTGCAAGTTTCTCCCTACTTTCGACAGAATCTTTGATGTAACATTGGTATAATGATCCCGGGGGTAGAATTTCCCAAAGACTTCAGAGTCAGATAATGCTGTAGTAGTTACCGGGTCTGATGTTAAGCTCCTGAACTGTCCTATTTGTCTACCAGTGCCTCTTAGTTGTAAAATAAGACATTGTGTAACTTTAGGAAACTGTAGATAGGAAAATAACCTGCAAGATATCTTCATGGTTGTTAATGGAAACCTAGATAAAAGAAACACAGTTTTTTTTAAAAAGAAAAAAAATCTACTGCATTCGTTCCTGTACAATAGGGCTTCTGTTTTTTGGTGTTCATTAATTACATTTTCAAGGTTTATTTTTAGAAGTATCCAAGTTCTATGCAGATATATAAAATCGGGGAAAATATAATCACCAATTTCATTTTTTTAAAAGTATTTATCAATTAAAACTGAAAATCAGAAGCCCTAACAATACAATACAATACTACACAATACAATACAATACATGTAACATCATTGATTCAAAAATGACTCCTTTGTCCTACAAATCAATGTTTCCCAAATTAAAAATCACAGGAACAAAAAAATACACTTCTACCGGAACTTCACACACTGGCTACAGAAATCATCCAGAAAGCCCCCACTGTTTAAGTGAACACACACGATATACACGACAAATGCAAGAGAATAAACAAATTCAAACCCTAAGGGAAATGAGGGAAATTGGTACAATTCAGGGAATTACCTCACCAAGGAGTTAATGAGGTGAAGAAAGGAATCGAACAATGATTATATCAAGAGTTTGTGAAATAATTCAATATTGAAGTAGGGTCAGTAAAATGAAACTGTGTTTTTGCTTAAATCCCGCTGATCATTAAGAGCATTATGTTAGCATAAGAAGCTTTCAAGTAAGCTGTAGGGGAAAAATAAAGTTTCCTCATGGATGGCCTCGGGGCAAACACGAAAAGGCAAGTTTAGGGACAGTGCCTAATTTGCACCCAATTCCTCTCCTTGGATTTCCAGGATTAGGGACAAAATGTAGGGAATAATATGGCAGAAATATAGGGTTAGGGAACACTGCTCAACCAAGATCAGTAGTTCCTGATGTGGATAAATATATATGCCCAGTTGCTAATGGAATGAGCTAAAGCTGTAGAACTTACGACTGGGTTTAACAGTGGCAACCGGTTTGGAAGTGGCAGTTGTAGCAGTGGTGTCGGGCAGGGTAGGAAGATAGGGAATTAGGGCTAGCCAGATATGGGCACGTTTGCCAGCTGTTGAAGTGCTGATGTCAGATGGACTTTACTGTCATTCAGATTAGACATGCCAAGCAATGCTAATGGCAGGTGAGTTTTGATCTTGGTAATCCTTACAAGAAACAGTAGAGCCACCAAGACCAATCAACCATTAGAAATAAAATTAGCATCAGAAGGTTGCAATTCAGGATTCTGTTGATGAATTCTGATGCAGCTACAGTTTATAACTGTCAACACACAAGTTGGGGTAACATAAGAAAGCATGGAACAAAGAAAAAACATCAATTGCATCGACCACTCATAATTTGCCTCATTGAGGCCTACACCTCAACTAAATCATTGCACGAATTTGAGTGTGAAAAGGATCTTGATGGCATGACTATTCCCTTAGAATAATGACACAACAAATGACCTTTAATGTAATTTGTAAAACAATTCAATATTTCATGTCAGATTTTGTAAACTAGAATGATTCAACTGGGAAAATAAGGTTACGTAATCTAATTTTTGAGGCATTAAAGGTGATGAACGATGCATGTTTACTACAGGTTACGTGATTGTACCCCGGAGCATGAAGTTTTTTTTAAAAAATGTGAATAATTGTGAATTTGGGATATGCCATTCCTCAACTCTGGGAATTTGGGGAGGGATAAGTCCACTTGATACCTGCTACATAGTTAATTTTATTGGCCAACCAGTATCTAAGGAGATACCCATGCTTAAAAGTATCCAAACCAGTCTTGAGAACTTTACAGGTGTATGCCGCCTACTCATGGAGATTTCATGTTTGGAACAGGATGTGCACTCTTTCTTCCTGGAGGAACCCACCCTGCTTAGCTAATTCCAGAAGGTATTAGGCTCAGGTAGGTGAGAGGCTCGAGGACTCCAGAGCATGCATCAGAGCTAAAGCTGCACAGTCATTGAGCGCATAGTGGCAAGCTTGTCCAGCTGGGACCACCACACTGGGCAGACTCCAAAAGGGAGGAATTCCTGCCTCTCCATGTCCCCTGACAAGCGAGGCTGACTGGTCTGTCATCAGGAACTAACTCCTGAGACCCCATAGAAAGTTGACTTGATTCTAACATTCCATTGCCAACCTCATCACACTGGAGCCAGCTCAGCCACAAGCAAACCCTGCTAAACCACCCCCACCCACTCACCCCCAAGGAAGTAATTAGTAATTAATGTTGAAATGTCCGTTTTTTTTAAACCATGCAGATGATTGTAAATTTCGATGAACAGATGGGAGGTTGAGTTTTAACCTGTCAGACATTTTTGACCTCCAGAAGCTACTATAGACATGTGCAGCAATAAAGTTATAAAGTAAGCGCAGGTTCCATATTTATGCTCAAACTAGCCAGCTGTTTGTGGAGCATTGCTGGGCTCAAAATGGCTGCTGCAATGGCCTAAAAATACAGTCACTACACTATTCAGTATATCGTATGAAAAACTCTTTGAGACGTCTTCCCGATGTATCAAGTGGAGGTGTTATTATTATTAACATTGTTATGACACGCATTATCTATTTATGAAGCTGTACGTCAGAGTGAAAGCAACATCTAGATTTTATGAATGACCCTATTTGACTACCGCGAAGCAAAATAATGTAGAATGTGAGATGAAGAAACAAGATTGGGGACTTTTGGGAATAGACAATGGAAAATACATATACAAGAATGTAGCTGCTAGCTTCTTTCATTTAAAAAAAATGGAAAGGGAAACAGGCATGAAGCTCTCAGAGGACAGACTTCAATGTTTCTTTTGTGAGTTCATGTTTTCTAGGTAGAAAAATCAATAGTGTTGGAAAACTGAAAGGCTTAAATAGAAGAATCAAGTACTTTGTATTAGTGTTAGAATATCTGTGGTAAGACTGGGTGAATTTTTTCAGCTTCTCAACGTGTTTTAATCTGTTGGTGCACAAAATCACCTCTTTCAACTTTAGATGTATCAACCTTGTTAGCTGTCATTGGTTTAGACAATGCATTTAAAATAAGCTCCTGCCTAAAAGAATCACATCTCACGTTGTCCTCCCTCTCCTCTGCCTTGAGCAGACTTCTACAATAGGTAAAAGTAGTGTTAAAATATTAATGAACATTCAATTTTGTCAGGAAACAAACTGGAAAGCCTGGTAATAGGGGCAAAAATAAAACAAGGCTTTCTGTCCAATGCATCACTGCCTGGTTGTTCTGAGTCAATGACCCAGCAGATGGAGCATTTACTCAATGAGCCATATTGACTTCATTCCTTACGTTATACCCAGAGCTCTTTCAAGCTCTCTTTCAACAAGCTCCCTACAGAGTAATGTGCAGTCCAGTAAGATCAGTCTGAAAATGTGTCCATTAGATCCCAAGTCATTTCATGTGAAATCTTCTTTCTCCTGAATCAACACTGTTAATTATCAACAATAATCAATACATGTGGGACCCAACAAATAAAGGGAATCCTGCCTTGTGAAATGACCATTGATAGCTAGGATAGTTTGGCACTGCCCACATTCCCAAGCCTCAGCCAGATGATGTTGGATCTACTTCATCCCTTCTCACAGGAGGTCCCATTCTAAGTCAATGAAAGCAAAATAACACATAATTATCCAGGTATTTCATTCTAACTTATTCAACCTTTTCAGATACTGTGCATGACATTGGACCGATAGTTATTACCAAGGCTGCATTTCTGAATGTTTCTTATTCCCCATATAATACTGTAGTTACTGGCCTATTCTTTTTTTTGGGGTGGGGGAGGAGAGAATCTTTTTATGCTTATCCATTTCCTTGTCTTGTTTTTGAGTGATAAAATCCTAAAAAGAAAGTACAGTTGTTAAAAATTTATTACCATGCAACAAGTTTCACACGTTGAGGTTCCTTTGTTGAAAGGGAGATTTTGTTCGCAATTAAATATTTATGTTATAAGTTGCTCATTTTAGTCTTCTCCCTGCCAGTTGTGATTTGTTTAACCGTGTTATTTCACTAGCAGTAAACATGGTACATAACCTTAATAACTGTACATTAAAGGAAACTAAATTAACAGGAATGAGAAAGTTGGATATTACAGTTTAATTCTTTAAATGCCAAAATCAAGTCAACTACGCCCGTCATTCCAATAACCTGTAAACTGCAAGTGGACCACCTTCTCCTGACATTTCGCCAGCACTCAAATGTGAATTCAAGCACCAGGAGTTACAAATTTGAAAGAAATCTTCAAAGATAATTGAGGCACATTAGAAAGCATGAGGAGGAAGGCTTGGTATCTCTAAAGTTCAAGTCATTGTTCTGGCATCTCTGTGCCATTTCATTTCCAGCTCTAAAATATGCATACAAAAAGGCATCAGATTTGAAAACTCCCTTCCTCCAATTCTTCTTCCTGTCATCTGCTGGGAGATTGAATAAAGTAATTAGATTGACTCTAGCACTTGCTGATTACTTCTACTGAGAACCCCACTCTTTGACCCGAAAGAAGGAAGGTTCACTAAATAAAGATCAATAGACTGGATGAGGCTGTCTAAAGTTGTTTGAACCAACTATAACCAACTAACTTCCCAGGGAGTCCTGCTGTATTGGTTTGTGGGGGGTGGGGGGTGCTATGAGCCTTTGACAAAGAAGAGGAGGGAGGCATATGTTAACCCTTTAAACACTAGCAACAGCAACAATCAAGGCAATTGCATGGAATTAAGGCTTGTTGTGGATGTTGTTTGCTTATAATGGGGGTGCACAAGATATAAACATTTAAAAGGACTTGATTTACCTTTCCATCGGTGTACACAGACACAATACATTTAAACGTAAGGTACCCTTGGCTTTTTTGTCAGCCAGATATCTGAAACATGCAGAAACTCCTCACCATGCTTAAGACTATCCAAACTAAACAAGAATTCCATGCATCCCATCTCTACATGGAAATTTTCCTGTATTTTGAATGGAAAGCACACTTTCCCCCCCCAGAGGGACGCATCCTTTTTACCTAATGCTAGACAGATTTGGTGCAGGTTGGC